TCTTTTTTTTAGTTTTTGGGTTCCCGCTTCCCCCCCCCCCCTTCTTCATTTGTGAAATTTTCTCTCTCTCCCTCCTCCCCTCCTCAGCCTGTTTTGCCACTTTCCTTTTTAGGCAACTAGAGGCTGTTATTGCAAAAATGACAAAGGAAAATGCTTCTCTGTTGTAACTTGTTCTGTCAGTCTCCTGTAAGTTGCTGTTCTTACGTTTACCTCCCTGGGTTGCGTTTCTGAAGAAAATTGTTTCATGCTACCAAGCAGAAATCACTTAAAGGAAATGTAGCTTACGAAAGAGTGATAAGTTAAATATTAACCAGACTCAAACAAGCTCAAGAACATTTCCAAGTGAGGTTAACTTGTTGGGCTGGTGAACAAGAACGAACTCAAGCAGTGAAGAATAGGCATGGGGATACTCTATTCAGAGGTACGTGACCATTTTCTGCACGGTAACTGAAGCTATTGAAGATATGGATATTCATGGGGTTTGGTTTTTTCCCTTCGCAGCCTCCCATACACAGGCTTATACAGATCTGGAAGTTCTTTTCCTTTGGAAATGCTGTACTTTGACTATTACAAATTGACAGAAGTACTTTTTGTAGGAGTAAAGAAAATGCAATAACCAGTGTAATTATTGTGACTTCGCAAAGAAAGTATGTGTTCAACACTTTTTGTTGTTCTGTGTTGAAATCAGAATGATTCTGAGCATGGTACAAGCAAGAAACAACTTTGCAAACTGCAAACAACTTGGCTTATGTTGAATATAGATAGTAAAGCTAATGCTTAAGGAAACATTCCCCTCCACCCCGTGATTGTTTTAGGGATGTGAATTTTTTTTAGCTTTTATCTTTGTGGGTTTGTCCCCAGACCATGGTCCATTTAGCATACCCCTGGATTTTAGCATAAATGCTATCTAAACATATTCATTATTTTATAAAATTTCCATTTGTACACTTGGGAACAAATGAGGATTTTCGTCCTTTTTTGACTGTGAATACAGTGACTTGCACTGCTGTTTCATTTTCTGGAGATAGCATTACATAGCTGTTCCTTTAAAAGGTTACATTTCTATGCTGAAAGCCACCCTTTTATTTTTAAAAGGCTATTTAATGAATTCTAGTATCGTCTGGTCTTTCAGTATTATAGGGAGCTTGAATCTGTGCATTCATAAGGTGATGGGCTGGGTAGACTGCACCTTATTCTGAATGCATTTGTTGCCTCTCTCCAGATCTGCTACTCTGAGATGGTATTGTACAAGAACCCAGTGTCATCTAGCTTAATTAAAGTGGTGTTTAGAGAATGTTCAAATGCTGTCCGTATCTCCCATGCTTATTAGTTAATACTTTCATATACATTAGTTCTCTTCCTTTAAAATTTTGAGTGAGATATAGTTTTCTGGGTAAAGTATGGTTCATTTATACAGGATAGAAATCTAGAGAACTGCAAATAAGAAAGTGTAAGTTGCCTTTTCTGAGAAGTATGGATTGGATACTAGTGCATTCCTCTGCATCACAAACATGATTTAGACTTTCCCATTTAGTTCGTAGCATGCCTCTGGATGAATTTTAGTGCACAGGAAGGGACTGTGAATTGGTTCAGAATATCTGGACATTATGAAGTGATTCCTTTTTGTCTAAACAACTGCAAAGCGTTGATGTAACTTAGGCAATCCCCTGCACTTGTCAAAGAAGGAAGCAATTATAATCTGAAATTGCTCTCCCAGTTGCAAGACCGGCTTTACCTTAGCCTCCTCTCTATTGGCTGAATGCTTTGTCCTTAGTGCCATGCCTTTAACCTTTCTTTCATGTGTGGTAGAACTTGCTGAATAGCTCGTGGTTTATCACTGCCTCAACAAAGCTAAGCAGAGGGAGATGCAAGAAGCTCTGAAAAAAGTAGACAAATTCAGATGTGGCAGTTTATCTGGATCCGAGTAAACTACCAGGTCTTGATTTCAATCACATAGCCTACAATTGATTCAAAGAAAAAGGGATAAAAAAACCAGTTGTGTAGAGGTATTATCCTTCTTTCTGACAGCAAAAGTTTTTTTACTTTTCTTGCACCCCTTATCTGGTGATCTTGTCCTGAGTGATCTCAGCCATGAAAACCCTTGCCTGTGCTATGACTACTTCTCACCTTTCCTGAAGTGTCAGATACTAAACAATGAAATCCTCTTCTGAAGGGCTTGTAGAAGAAGTAGTATTGTAGAAAGAGAGATTCTAATCTAACTATAGAGGTTTTGCTTTAAAACTGCATATTCAGTTTTCCTTTGAACGCCTGACATGCATAAGCATCACTCTGTCATTGGCATAACTAATCTTCAAACTCTGATTTCCAGTCCCCAGTGTCAGCCCTTTGCTTTCTTCAGTTGGGCAGAGCCATGTACTCTGGTTCATGGTTAGCCCTGATGCTGTGGCAGGGAAAAGGCACCACTGGTGAGGGTCGAAGGATTTTGGTGTTGCGATTCTCTGTTTTCCCTCCCTTCCATCATATGTTTTTTGCGGCATCATGCTGTCAGGTTCATCGTGTGCATCTTGTCTAAATGTTAGGTGGTGCTGCAGAAGTGTGAGTGAGAGCAGAGGTGAAGGGCTTTGCTTCCAGGCGGTTCAAAGAGGCGCTTGCTTCCTCTTTACCTAAGCTGAAATTGTTGGTCCTGCTCCCCCTCCCTTCAGACCTAGAGCTCTTGTTTGTGTTGGGTGTAATGTCTGATGTGCCTATGCCAGGTCTGCCCCACCATCTCTGGGGTGGTCAGGACACCGTGGTTTATAAATAATGTGGTGTAGATGAGAGTAGCCACTCTGTGTCTTGGACTGCCAGCACTCCCAGAAGTTGTGAGCTCAGTTCCCACTGATGCTTTCTTCAGGGTTTCTTGTTGTGGGAGCACTGGCTTTTGTTTCTCACACGTGCCTAAGGGCGATGCCATAGACTGTATGTCTATGCTCCAGTTGCCAGTGCACCTCTAATGAAGGAAGCTGCAGGGGTTCTCCTGGCTGTCCTACACTGCTGTGAGACTTCTGCGCTCATAGTCCTGCTTCTCTCCACAGCTGAGCCTGAGTCTGAGACATGAACTTTGGATTCTTCTGATACTGCTTCCGTCTTGCATGTGAAGCCCAGTTATCCTGAGTACATATCTCATAGGCTTATTTCCCTCTTGTGTATGATGGGTGGGTAACAATTATGTAATAACCATAACATGAATCAGAATCTGGTTGTTAAGCTACATTATTGGTGAGGCGGTCTTCAAATGCTGTAGAAAACTAAGTGAAGGCTTCCAGACTTTTAGCCTCCATGTTTTTCTGTAGACATAAAGAAAATGTGTTTTCTTGGGTTTTGGATGGGATCTACTGCTTGTACATAACGTTGTCCTAACTCTATAACTGGCCTCACTGCTGATATTTGAGACAGGTGCTGTCTAACTGTGTGTATGTAAGAAACACTATTAATTGTCTTCTGAGCGAAGTTTGGAGAATTGTTTAAAATAGTCTTAAGCACAGTTACTCCTAATTTAGATAGAGCTGCCAGAGTGGCAACCCAAAAAAGTGAAAGGTGGAAGAGGGGTTTGTGGCAGAGGCTTCACAACCACAGAAATCCTTGCATACTTCTCAAGCTCCAGCCTGGAGCCTGTCAGGTTTTGTGTCCATTCTGCTGCTACTGGAAGCCTGTTTTGTAGCTTTACTCTGCACATGGCTAGAAATCTCTTTCCAATTTTCATGCTAAACTTCTTGGCCAGATATATCACCTCTTTTAGCTTGTTCCTTGAAATTAATTGGTTCTTCTTCTCTAATACACTTCAATTTATTTTGGAACACTTACAGACCTCTCTCTTTTCTTCAAATCAGTCTTTCTTCAGGCTCTTCATATTCTTCAGTTGTGTAGAGGTTTTACGCTCCTGCCATGGTCTGATTTCATTTTTGGACCCAGATGACAGGAACTGTATCCACTATCCCAGTTAAGTGCTTTCTATAACAGCTCTCTTCTCTTTCTGTGAGAAAGACTGCCTAATATAACGTTTGCCGCTAGTTGCTGTTTCTGATGCCTTTCTTGCACAGGTGACTGATTGCCGCCTATTTGTAATTTTTCTTGTCTTTATTCTTTCCTAACAGATTTTTTTTCTGAAGTCCTATTGTTATTGATTTCAAGAGGATGAGCTTATAGTTGTTTGGATTGCTTTGTTCCTTACTTAAATATTCTGCTACTATGTTTGCTCTTCCAGTCATGGAGTTGTGTTTGTCAATTTGGGAGGTATATTGCAAGTCTGATCTATGGGACTTTTCACCTTTCTTTGACTAAAAGAGGCATTTTCTAGAATGCAAACCAGCAGAGTGGGCCTCAAGAAAATCCCATCAAACCAGGAAAAAATTTGTTTGTTTGTTTGTTTGTTTTTCTAATATGAATGGAACATATTAAAGTGTGAAAGAATCAGTTCTACAAAGAACCCTCACTGCAGTGGAATAATAATAATAATAATTTAAAAAATACTTTAAGTACATCAATCACCCATGTATTAGCTGTTGGAATAGATGAAAATTGCTTCCTTACATTCTCTGTGCCCTGGATGTTTTCTAAGAACAGCCAGTTTCAGAAGGTAAAAGAGCATGAATGACTCTTGTGTGCCTGTCCCTGTGCATGACTTCAGTCCCAAATAATGTGGTCTCTTAGGGAGTGGTAAGTGCTCCATCATTATTCATGGTTCTAGAACTGGGTTCAACAGTAGTGGAAGGTTTAGAAAAAGATCCCACAACTCAATGAGAGTATCAGTCAGAAATGCCTTGGGCTTAATGGCCTAACAAGTAAAACTCTGAGGAAGGACAGAAAGAAAAGAGCAAAAGCATATCATTTGGTGACATGAGCTACTGAACTAGCAAGAATCAGACTAGAAAGGAGTAAAGTTGCACAGTAAATGGCTAGGGTTTGAGCAGGTGTTCAACCAAACAGCACATCTCCTGCATCTTCAAATAAGCAAAGCAATACTGAACAGAAAGAATAGTACAGAAATCAGAGGTACAGACAGACTCCACTTGATCTTCTGTTTCCTGGACGTGGAGATACAGTACTAGACACTGACATAACAGAGATTGAGGTTCCAGAGCAAACCGATCATTTAGATGGCATCGGTGTGCAGGTCACTTACACCAAGAGGGATTTAGAAGAGGGATTTCTCCTCAAAATCATTAAAACAGTTCTGGTTCTGGAGAATTGTATAATAGCAAATGGCACATATAGCCTTTTAAAAGAATATAGACAAATGATGCAAATTTACAATGTTGCATATATTCTTTGTAGATTTTTGTCTGATATAATAAAAACAAAACAAGAAGAGGTGCAAGGTCTGGTAAGCATGTAAATACTTTCTCTAGATAGGAAAATCACTTCTCTTATGCAGCTGTCCAGAAGACTAAGCAGCAATGATGCTGGAGGTAAACTTGTGTCCCAGATCACCGTTTGTCTGAAGTGAAAGTGTAAATAAGATTAATCTTTTTAATGGAAAAAAAAAAAAAAAAGAAAAAGCTAACTGCAGGGGGGTTGAGGAAAGGGCTCAGCGTTCAGGGCTAGATATTGTTCAGTAGTGTATTTAGGATCTGATAAAAGGAGGATGGGAAGGAAAAATTGCAGATAATATTTAAAGAAAATGCCTATCTTGGAAAATGGTGAATAAAAACCCCAGTATCGAAGACAGAAGAAAAGAAAGAAACTGATTCTCTTTTCGACTGGAGAACTTCAAATGCTACCAGCCTGCCACACCACCCACTGTTATTTTCTGCCTGTATTAGGCCATTAGAAACTTGTAGTACTCCTGTCATTCTCAGCCTCTCCTTAGTCTGAGATCTTGCTGCTGGAGAGGGAAGGGATTGTAGGTTAGGTCAAGGGTGCATAGAAATACTGAGTGAAGACTTGAACAGCAAGCAGTTCTCAAAAACCAAGCATGATCTGAGCTGCAGGCATACATGCATGTATTTTTTAGGTATGAAGTTTAACCTGAAGCCCTAGAAAAGAAACATTGTGGAGGTTTTAGTGGGTTTTCGTTTGTTTTTGGTTGGGTTTTTTTTTTTTTTTTTACATTTTTAGCTCAGGTTTCACCTGAAGTGTGGTTCTGTTCTGGGAACTGATGAGTCAGAAGTGGTACCTCTTGTTCAGCAGTGCTCACCCAAAGGGAAAGCCTGCTGTAAATTTAGAGAGGTGTGGGCTTGTAAGTGCTTGCTGCTTAATACAGTGACCAACTACCATGAGATCAGAAGCCGTTTTTTTAATGGCTGCAAATGAGCCAGATTCATTTCTTGGATTATAGACACATCGTCCAAATGGAACAGAAAGTTTATTGCACAGTGCAAGGGCTGTGACTTCTTAGGCTGAGGGCTGAAAGCTGCTGCGTGGTAGCTGCAGCAGTATCTCTTACCACCATCTTTTGGAAGTCACCTAGAACTACAACCTCTGCCAGGAGTGCTTGGCAGTGCCTTAGGATGTGCAAGTAGTAAGTCAGAATGGGAAGAACGGAGGTCTTTCTTAGTGAAACGTGTGCTAATGAATATTATCTTCTTTCTTCAGCCCATTTGTCAGGCAGCTTATAATAACGATTTCAATGAAGTTCAGCTCCTTTTGGAGAGCAACAGCAACTATCTGAACATCCAGGACAGCTTCGGTGGAGACACCCCCTTAATTTGCGCATGCAAACAGGGAAACAACAGGATAGTTAGCTATCTTCTAAAAAGAAATGCTGATGTCAACCTCAGAAACAAGGTAAGTGGACAGCAACTCACCCTTTGCAGTGACTGTTCTTTCAGATTCTTGGAGTGTGTGTGTGGGAACACTGGTAGTACTGCCAACCCTGAGGTTTGTTTCCAACTGAGGCATAAGTATAGCCTCCAAATTATAGTCTAATAAACCTTTTTGTTTCTATTTGTCTCCTCATTTATTTTCCTAATTTGCCATTACACACAACATAATAAATATTGCCAACCTGCATTTCTCTCTGCGTTCACGTTCCCAGTTTAGGTAACACTGCATGCCATCCCCAGTCCCCAGTGGGTTCTGCCTGCTTACCCATGCAGCGCTCTGCATTCATCTTGCCCTCCAGCTTGTATCTGTCCCTTCTGTAGCTTTTCTTTTCCCTCTGTCTTTTTCTTCACCCTGGTTAAAAGGAAGGTCTGAAGGAGCGCCTGTCCACCTCTCACAAATGTATCCCTGAGGTGAGACTGACTCCAGGAACACCTTTATTCCCTCTGCAGACCTGCTTTTGTCACATTATTTGACACATAATAGTGTTCTGGGGGGTGAAGAGGGAAGCCTTTGTCTGTTCTTCACCGATTCCCTATTTTAAAAAACCTACCTGCCTTGCACAATAGCTGTGACTGGCTGTTTTCCCTAAGGTGATGAGGAAGTGTGTTTTTGTGGTAGATTTCCTTGTAGGTTACGAATAAAAAGTAGCTGAAAGATTTCATAGATTTCATAGAATAGCTTGGGCTGGAAGGGACCTTAAAGATCATCTAACTCCAGCCCCCCTGCCATGGGCAGGGACGCCACCCACTAGACCAGGTTGCTCAGGGCCCTGTCCAGCCTGGCCTTGAACACTGCCAGGGACGGGACGTCCACAAGATGTGAGTTCTGGCTTCATTACTAATTTATTCTTATGATGTTAAGGGCAATAAATAGCCAGGAAAAAAACCCCACAACATTGTCAATTCTGTTGTATCATCTCATACTCCAAGGCAATGTTTAGCAAGTCCCTACACATTTGTGGGCTATCTTATATCTCTGGTTTCCAGTGCATTTGTTTAATTCATAGGAGGGCAGCAAATGTTCGTGAGGTCAGAGGCATATTCTATCCCATCTATTCTTCTTGATGCAGAAGGCTCTCCATCTTACCTCAAAGTCCCTTTGAAAGGGTTCAGTATTTTGCAGTAAGATCACTCTAATTGCATTGGCAGCCATTTGCTAGCTGTGCCTGGCTTTCTTAAATGCTTCTCTGCTTCACCTTCACAGATGGAACCAGGCCCTTGCATGCAGAGCTTGACTGTGGTGCTCAGGACTGAGAATGGGCAGTGGAGGATGACACAGAAAGGCTCCTCTGCTTGTTTTGAGCCCCAGTGTAATACTGTAACCTAGTTTGCCAAACTCCAGTTTGACAACCTGGAGGAGGTTTAACACGAGTGTTCTTTATCACACAATTTGAAAGCTCTACTCTTTAGTTGCTTTGGTACAGTCAGTATTCAAAGATTTTTTAAACTCTCTTCTCACTAGGAATCTGCTGTTGTTACTTGCCTGTGTTTCTCACGTGTGCCAAAGGAAATGCCATAGACTCTCTTATGTCTTTGCTTTAATAACCAGCACCTCTATAAGAAGAAGAGCTGTGGGGATTCTTCCTGCTATTTAACCTGCTGGGCAGTGGTAGTAGCTGCATGAGATGTCCACTCTGCCTTCTTTCCCTCTGCAGCCATGCCCAAGTTTGCAGACACACACATGGAATCCTTTGGATCTCACATCTCTCTTGCACGTGTAGCCCAATTTCCACAAGCCTGGATGTGTTAAAGGGGCTTCTACCTGAAGCAAGCAAAATGCATGTGTCTGTTTCTGCTTGAAAAATCAGAGAACTGTTTCTAGTAGATAACCTAAAAGAAAGCTTGTGAAATACAAAATGGTCTACTATTGTCAATATTAGACTAATATAATCAGATCACTGAATCTGGTACTAATCAGAGTTCTTTTGTGTTTAGAAAGACCGCACATGTCTGCATTATGCTGTAAGAAAACGGTTTACCTTCCTTGACTATGTGCTCATCATAATCCTCATGCCAGTTATGCTTATTGGATATCTTCTCATGGTGAGTCTGGATGAAAGCAGGGAAGACCCTGTACCTTTCCTTTTCCACTTATCACCTTTCCCAGGGCAGTATTTCAGGCCAGGAACCTGTATAGAATATGGACTGCTGTTTTTCAAGCAAGGACTGCTGGAGAGCAATAGAAGAAGCAGTGGTTTTGCTGTGAATATAGCTAGTGAAGGAACAGAATTGTAACACTGCATCAGTCTGGCATTTGCAGAAGCCAGACACTCTCCTTTTGGAAAAAAACCACAAACAGTATTTAGACAGAATCTACTAAGTACTACATGCAGATGAACCGTCTTACTGTGTTACTCTTT